CCCCCTACTTCTGCCGCGGTGCCCCCCCCCCCCCCCCAAGCGGCCCAGACTGGCAGGCTCAAAATCAGTGTCTCGTCGGCGATGGGGAGGGCACTTTTTACCCTTTCCTTTGCCCGGGTCTGGTTTTGCTGCCCTTCCCTTCCAGTGTCTGAGCCAGCCGCACATAAGCGAGCAGGCCAAAAGTTTGGCAGTCGCCTGGGGGGTGGCGGGATGCTGCAGCAAACAACCCCCGCCCCCGCAGCCAGTGCCTGGGCTGAAAAGGAAGAGATGCGAGGAGAGGACAGGGTAGGAGACCAGCCTGAGAATTCCTGGCAAAGCTTCCCAGGGACCGATTCCCTCCCATTCATCTCCCTCCCCACCGGCCAGCTCCTCTGTCCAGCTGGGCAAACTCCCAGGAGCGCTTAGCGAGGAGGAGCCTGTGGTGGGACAGAGGGGGAAGACCCTTTGGCAGCCAGCGGAGAGCTTGTCCAAGCCAGGGAGGGCGGATTGGGCCCTATGTATGTCCATGTGATACACCCCCCCACACACAGAGACACGCACAAACACGCGCGCAAAGCCCTTCCCCCGCCTCCTCCCCGCGTCCCGGGAACTCTCACCTCACAGTCCTCTTCATATTTGACATTATCGGCTAGTTTCCACAACATGGCGTCCAGCGTCCAAAAATACAGAGATAGTAGATCAGCAAAGATCCCCAGCCCCCCAAGCAGTAAATCCAAGTCGGTGCTGGGGAAGAGCCGCTCCCCCGAGTGGGTTGCGTTAGTTGCCAGGCATGGAGAGGGGTGCAGGACGAACCTTCCCTCGAATGGTCACTGAGGTTTTCCCCTGCCCAGACGCCCTTAATGGCAATAGGATTATCATAACTCCTCCCCAGGGATGGCTTGGGAGACCGGGCTCTCATTAGGGGCGGCTCAGAGCCAGCCACTCAGGAGGGATCTCGCAGCTCCTAGCCACTCCTCCTCTGCGCTGGACTGGAGCCTCTCCAGGGCGCACACGCAGGGCTGCGGGGAGCTCAAAGCTGCCCAGGGCGCGTTGCAGCGAGGTTCCAGGCGCGGAACTAACGCGGCTTTTCGCCACGGGCTTCCCAGCTTCTCTGGCGGTGTCTATGGGGGAAGTGCTGCAAACAGCCAGGAGATGCGCGCAATGGAATTGGGAAGCCCTGAACAGGACCGACCTGTGGCAAAGGGTCTGGCAAGGGGCAGGTGAGCTGAAGTAAGAGGAGTGGGAAGGGGGTTGAAACCCCTAAAACGGCGAGCGTCGGAGTAAGGAGGAGAAATGGCTCTAAGCATCCCAGTTTCATCTTTCCAGACGTACCTTCCCGATTCACAGTCTGATTGCCTCCCGCAGCCCAGCCCAAGGAAGTGGCCAAAAGGAATCTCGCCTTGGCCCAGGCTGGAGTAGGTGTAAAATCGAATAGTACGAAAAGCACCGAGTCTGCCACGCTCACTCACTCCGAACCCCTCGTTCCCGTCCAGAATACACCCTTTATCAGACATTGCGTGCGGGCAAAGGCTGTACTGGTAGCCCGAGAAGGACAGAGCTGGATGTTGTGTAAATGTCCTTCAAAACAACAGAGATTCGGCTTAAAAAATCATTTCGACAAGGCAGATCTTGTGGTTGATTTCAAGCCCAAACATTTACCCCAAAGTCCTTAATTTTAGACGAATCCTTTTGCAAAACCGACAAAAAAGCTTTATTACAAAAGGAGGAGGGTTTCACACCAGTATTAAGTCATTAGCATAATTGCCAAGAGTTTGATTACAACTTGCCAATGTTTGGGGGTATAATTTAGCTAATTATCCAACAAGATTATTGCAGTGGGCTAAATATTTTTTAGGGGGAGCAGGACAGATTCAACGTTTCAAATCTGGCTGGCTTGAATTATGTCACAGGTTAGAAATGTTAGTGGCTTTTTCCCCCCATGGACATCCCAATCTGTCAGGTCCTTTGGAAGGATGTAAAAGCTGGTGGTGGGCAAGAGGGGCACATTTTTAGACTAACAATCCCATCTTGCATCCAACATTTAAAACCTAGCCTGGCTAAATAGCTACCTCTCCGCAACCCACTCTGACCCAGGCGCCTCTGCTTGCCTGGCAAACTGAACGCTGGTTTGAAAGCAATTTTTCCTGGTGCTGAAGGTGCATTTGGATTGCTGCTCATTTGCAGGAGAAGCAAATGTTTGTTTATTGTGGCAGAGCCAGACACTGGCATCGAACAGTGCTCGCCTCCGGCTTCTCCGCGCCTGCTTGCGCATGGGAACTGCACGTTTGGGAGCTCTTGTTAAAGGCCTGCAAGGGGCGCTCAGATTTAGATTTAGGTGCGTTAATAGCGGCTGCTTAAAAAACACCCCGACCTAGTGAAGTATCTGCAGATAAAGCAGGACAGGGCGATTTCGCTCCAACTAACTGTTGAAGGCGTTATCTGTCTATCTGGCACGCAGGTGCTGATTCCCAGCAGCGGAATTAAACCCATCAGGCGCAGGGAACCTGCATTACCATTTTTGGTGGAGCTCTTTATTTATTTATTTTAAAGGCCCCTGTCTCCACCCACCCACCCCCTTTCCAGGGCTGTTTCTTTGAAATGCAGCTCGCGACGATTATAACAAGTGCGTTGTGCGGCACTTGGCGTCATTAAGACTAGGAATCTCAATAATAAAAGCCAAGGGGAGCTTAAAGCTCATTTGTATTATAGGGACAAGATGGATCCTAAAAAAAGAGAGAAAAATGCAAAGCATTTAGGGTTGGAGTCAATTCATCTGATCCCTCCAGGGCGATCCAATAGTCTGTATTTCGAGGGGAGAGGCTGGTTATTTTGATGGTAAATTATTCATTTATTCGAGAAATGAATAAATGCACTCTGCTCTGAATGGGAAGGTGGCCTGTGTTAGACTCAGAAATTCATGAAGTCCTGGGGAAGTCCTGTCCAACTGGGTTAGTTTGATCTTGGCAGCCAAGACGCAAAAAAATGAAATCACGTTTCAGATTCTTTTAAAAAAGGGGATTGGAAGGAAATAGTGGTTAAACATGCCAGCAAAACAAAAAAGGCTGAAAAACTAATAACTATGACACCTCCAGCGCGATCTTTCAAATGCCCCCCAAACGGCCTCGATCTCTACAAGCAGAACCCATGTTTTCGGAGAGTGGGTGTTATGCAAGGTTCTTTGAATTCAGAATTCTCCACTGAAAACAAATCTCTCTTCAAAAATCAGCTGACACGCAGAAACTAACTCCCCCAACTTCTCTGGTTTTAAACCGTCCGTGCGACGGACTTGCTTTGTGTCACCTGCTTCTTTTGTAGCCTTTGCATTTTTCTCGACACAATTTCACAGAGGTTTAAATGCTTTGCTGTTCGTTTTAATTAAACGGCCTTTTGTTACACCTGTTCTTCTGGGGGGACAAATCGGAAGCTTGATTATTACTAGTCTTGTAAAGGGATCATTGAATGCCACTGAAACAAGGACAAATATATATATTCCGATCCTTTTCGTTTCATTTCATGGAAAAGAGAATAATTTTTTTCCTACAATTCAATGTCGCTCCTAGAAATGACAGAGTACAGTCTTTAGAAAGGTGTGTACCTTTGTAAACACAAGATCGACTGATAGCTCCGTTGAAATGCAACTGATTTGGGGTAGGTTGAGCGATCTAAAAATTATTGTAGCCCTAGTATACAGGCGGAATATTTCATAGCCAAAAGATAGGACCCACTCTCCCCTAGTCTAGTGTAAAACATACAGGTTGGAGCTGACACCCAGTCGCCGCTGGCATGGAGGGAGTAGTTCACTCCAAACACGTAGCTGGAGACTTACGAAAAGTTTCGTTCCTCATTTGAAGAGCCATCTAGCTCTAGCTACTGGCTCGAACTGCGCCGCGAAAGCACAGGGGCTGACGAAGAGAAAGGCCAACAAGCGGTCGACCCGAAAGGTGCCTTTTTACACGTGCTGCAGGCCAGGGAGGGACACGTGGATCCCAATGCAGCGCGGGCTGTTCCGGGCAGGTTTTCTGGCCTTTCTGATGCGCCCGGAGGAACTTTCCCCACGGGGCTGGGTTGGTTTGGTTTCCAACCGGGATGCAGTTTCCAATGAGGGACGGGGAGGCTCACGCAGGTAGGGAGCCGGGAAGAGACAAAGCCTTGCCGCAGGGGATCCCCTCCTCTTTACTGCTTCGCCCTTTCTTTCCTTTCGGGAGGGTTCCCACTGGCCTCTGCTCGGGACAATAAAGCCCGGCCAGACCCCCGCACCATGCCCAAGAGGGGCTGGATTTTCCGCTGAGGAAATAGCAGGTCTCCCCTCAGGATCGGGCCCCTGGAGACTTTTCGTGTCATACGAACTGGATCATGGAAGTGCGGTGTCCCTCCCTCCCCACCACCGCCGCCAATACCCCCCAGAAGCAACCGTTGGGGGGACAGCGCTGGCTGGGGAGCGATCCAGGGATTAGTCCGAGGGCGGAGGTCTCAGGGGCGCTGCTGTAGCTGCGGGGGAGGGGGCTGGTTTGCTCCTGGCTCTCCCCCCCGCTACACTCCTCCAGGGCGCGTCTCAGTGGCTCGGAGCGCAGGGGGAGCGGCGCGGCAGGCGGATCCGGGGCGGGGAAGGGCTCTCCGCAGCCAGAGCCCGCGCCTGGACAACCGCAAAGGGACGCACACGCCAGTCGAGCCTGCCCAGCAGAGCCACTGGCCGCCCGGCGGGGGCTGGAGCGGGTCCGCTGGCGGGCAGCGCCCTACGCGTGCGCTCCTGCCCGTGAGCCAGCCCCAGCCTGGCACCTAAGGACACACATTCCAGCCCTTGGATCCCGGGAGCCCGCCTCGCTGCGCCAGCCACCCCGAGCGGCGCGCCCGAGCAAGTGGCGGTGTCTCGCCACCGACAGCCTGGGAGCCCAGGGCTTTCCCACGCTGCGGGCTTGGGTCCCCCCATCCAGCGCTTCTGCCAAGTGCACCTGAAACACTCCTCTGCCCCCCGGCTTCTCGGCCTCGCCCGCTGCCCACGCGCGCCCTGTCACACTTCCCACTGCAACACGTTGTCTTTCGTGGTGCAGATGATCTCCCCTCCCCGGAGTTCCTGTGTCCCAGTTGAAAGAGGGCAGAAGGCTCGTGGAGGGGCATTTATGTCCTCCCCTCCCCCCGCAGGGGGCTACATTTTAAGCAGCGTCCTTCCGCGCGGGCATAACTCCCGCGCTTGGAGACGCTCCCTGGCTGGGATTCAGCGAGGAAGAGTGAAGGAGGTTTCCCCAAATCAGAGGGTTCCCCCCCCCTCTCCTGGCTAGGGGGATAGGCCCAGACTTGGGGCAGCTTCTTATGTTCCGTGGTAACTTTTCGTGTCGGAAAAAAACCGCTTCGAGGTCTCTCCCCGCAGCGTTTACACAAGGAAGCCACGTGGGAAATTGTTGATTGAGATGCGAGTGGAGAGCAGGTGGGAATGCCCAAGTCCTTAGCGAATGAGGGAAGGCAAATCTCTCCAGGTAGGTTGCTTGGTTCAATTTTAAAAGGGATTTTAACACCGTTTTTATTAGAATGACTTCCCCATCTCTCTACCTCATTATTTTATTATTTCAAAGCTTTTCCCCACCCCCAGCGAATTCCCATAGCCTACATTGTACATGTGCATTGAAATTAGCTGCACCTGAGATCTGATTTTTTTTCTGGTGTAAGTGGCTTTGTTAATTTCATTATGATCTTCAGAAAACCACATGAACCCCTTAGAATAACGGCCTCCTGGTAGCCATGTGTCTTATATTGAGCAAGTACCCCATTTTTCCCGATGATTACCCCCCAATTTTCAAAACGGTTCCCCATATTCCCTATGAACCAGTCTGACTTTTACCTTGCTGTTCACAGAGTTGGCCAAATTCCAACACTAAAAACCATCCCAGGTCCTCGCATTTGTCAAAAAGACTCTAAATAACTAACTATCGCGGTAATTTTAATTAAAAAAAAACCAGTTTCTCTGGGTCTCAAAATATTTGACACAGATCAGAGTGGACATGCTGCAGATTCCGGGTAATTTTAATTAAAAAAAACCAGTTTCTCCGGGTCTCAAAATATTTGACATAGATCAGAGTGGACATGCTGCAGATTCCAAGTTTGTAAATATCTCCTTGTGTGGATGACAGTGATTTGGTTACATCATCCATTTCATTTCTCCACAATAAAAAGAAAAAGACAATGAAGAACAGATTTTGAGTCATTGGGGGGGGGAGGGGATGGTTTAAAATCATAGTAGTTTATGGAGGCTGTAAGATTCCTTTCTATTTTCTCTGTCATGAAGTTGGTGCTTGCATTGCTTCAAGGTCAAAACAAACTGTCAAACTACAAACTGGGGCACCTATGTTATAATGAAGAATTAACAAACCCACAACACTGCCTAGGTAGTCTTTCCTAAGAAATACTATTTAGCAATGTCTCCAGTGGCCTGTATCCACTGGTTTTATGTCAGCATTAAAACATGCATTCTACTTTAGGTATTGGTCATAATTCAACATGCACATACAACCCCATATGTGCACATGAGGCTTTACAGCGAGAGAGAGAAACAAACAAACAAAAAACCCAGTCCCTAACACCAGGATCTTCCTCTGGAGACTAGGTACAATATGACATGACAGGGAGGTATGTCTTAGAGCAGTGGTCTCCAACCTTTTTACACCTAAGATCACTTTTTAAATCTCAGAACAGGCGAAGATCTACTGCCCCGCCCCTTCCTTGAAGTCCGGCTCTCTCTATTCTCCTCCTGTCCATCACTTGCTATCCCCAGCCCTTACTTACACACTCTGATAAACAGTTTCTTTTTAAATTAAGCGATATATAAAATTAAAATCATATGTTTATAGTTATGAAATAAATGGTCTGGTTTTTATTCATGCTATTTAAATCCAAAATTAAGCATTTATAATTATACATTTTGTGGGGACAGAGTTCTGTATTCTCCTCCTGTCCATCACTTGCTATCCCCAGCCCTTACTTACACACTCTGATAAACAGTTTCTTTTTAAATTAAGCGATATATAAAATTAAAATCATATGTTTATAGTTATGAAATAAATGGTCTGGTTTTTATTCATGCTATTTAAATCCAAAATTAAGCATTTATAATTATACATTTTGTGGGGACAGAGTTCTGAGGCTGGGGGCAGGGGAGAGGAAACAGGGTGCTGGGAGGGCAGAGGACAGGGTTCTGCAGCAGGGGACAG